TAGCATTACTTAAAAAATGTATTCAGTGGAGCCTATATACTGTAGAGGTTTTTTTATTTAACATCATCAGCCTTAACAGTTCCTTTACTGGAAATTTTGCAAAGTTCCTGAATTATTCTCACCATTCCATACCCTTCACATTTTTTTTTAACCTAAGTCTTCTGTGTTTTTATGCTTATGTTTTCACTCATAACTCTTTGTCTTTGCAACAAAATGGTCTACATGTTATAGGTTTCTTCTGTGTTGCATTATCATTGCATTTGTTATTAGGGCACTTTATGTTTATTACCACTATAATGATACAAACATAATAAAGATTTTGTTGAATAATTATTACATATAAAAGGTAAAATTATATGGTTAGAATTCTATTTTTGTTTTGTATATGATTTTAGTAAAAAATAACTTGGTCACATAAACAAGTGCCATATTTGAATGGTGCTAAATGCACTTGCTAAAATGCTCATTTTTTTCCACATTTAGCGTATCTGTAATTGGAATGTGTCATACAGCCCCTGCTCTGTTGGATTTAAGGATATTTGGTGTTTGAAAATGAAATTCTTAATATATTTTCTCTCATTTCTTTGAATACATGGTGATCTGTCATCAAAATTTTAATGCTCTGTCAGGTTTGCAATTTGATGAACTTAAATTTTATGAAAACAGAATTAGAAACCCTCAGACTTATAAAAGCGTTTTTTTTATTTTTTTATTTTTATTTTTTTAGATTTTTACTTATTTGAGAGAGGGAGCATGAGCAGGGGGAGGAGCAGAGGGAGAGGAAGGAGCAGACTGCTTGCTGAGCAGGCAGCCTGATATGGGGCTCCATCCCAGGACTCTGGGATCATGACCTGAGCCGAAGGCAGACGCTTAACTGACTGAGCCACCCAGGCACCTCTATAAAAGCATTTCTTACTCAGTCATTACCTTTACTCTTTCAACATGTACACCACTTTTTAAGACTGTCCCTTTGTTTGGGAGGTCTTTACTCTCTGGTACAAAACTACAGTAAGACTGAGGAGAGGAGAAAGTTGTTTTGTCTTTCTTCCATAAGCAAGACTGGGGTAATCATGAAAGAAGTAGGGTTGGGGAGGGGGCACCTGGGTGGCTCAGTTGGTTAAGTGACTGCCTTTGGTTCAGGTTATGATCCTGGAGTCCCAGGATCGAGTCCCTGCTTGGCGGGGAGTCTGCTTCTCCCTCTGACCCTCCCCCCCCATCTCATTCTCTCTCTCAAATAAATAAATAAAATCTTTAAAAAAAAAAAGAAAACAGAAGTAGGGATGGGGGGACAGAGAACCAGTACCTTTGTGTTTTTAGACATGTGAGTTTTATGAAAAAGTCTCTTTGGGAGTTGATGCAATTGTTTCCATAAAAAGACCACTGCCAGAATTTGTTTCTCTGTTGCCTCTTTGAAGGACATTTCAGTTGTTTTTGTTTCTTCATTATTAAAAACAAAGCTAAAATGAACATCCATATAAACACTTTATAATGCTGTCATTATTTCATTAGGATAAAATTTCAATGCTGGATCAAAGCATATGAGCTTTTTTAACATTTGATAGAAATTGGTGTGCATATTTTTTAAAGCTTTTTCTGTTTGAATTTTGGCTAAAAGTATATCATGCCTATTTACATTAATCATAGTGGAGTTAGAAGGAAGCATATGTTAATAATTGAGTATAATTTTTTTTAGGTACTGAAACACAGTCTTCACTTTGGAAAGCGGTGGCTTTCTTTTTAGAAAACATTGCTATGCATGGTATTACGGCAGCAGAAAAGTGCTTTGGCACTGGGGCAACAGGTCACAGACCCAGTCTACAAGAGGGAGAAAGATATAATTACAGCAAATGCACGATTGTGGTCCGGATTATGGAATTTACCACAACGCTGCTCAGCACCTCCCCAGAAGGCTGGAAGGTGGGTCACTCCTGGTGCTCTCTTAGTTTGAGGTCAGTACTTGGCCCTGGAAAAATATTTTCTAGTACCTATTAAAAGTGGTTTTAGTTTCCTTAGAACTTTCCATTGCTGTAGGAGTTATGTGTTCTAGAAAGTAATAAAATTTTGCATGTACATCAGATTCTTATGTGAATAAAATACAAAATAGTTTTCCTAAATGTTTTATTGGATATTGCATTTTATGCTATGATCAAACGTTTGCTTTAGGAAACATGCATTAACAAATATTTGTAAATGTCTGTGAGGCTTATTATATAAACAAAGTCCAAGTCGGTGTATCCATTTAATACATACTAAGTGTCTACTCTAAACCGGGGGCCATAAAACTATGGTCCACAGGCCAAATCCCACCTGCTGCCTGCTATTGTAAAGAAGGTTTCATTGGAACTTGTCTAAGCCCATTTGTCTATGTATTGTCTGTGGCTGCTTTCATGTTATAATGGCAATTAGTTCAGCAGCTGCAACAGAGACCATAGGGCCCACAAACCCTAAAATATTTATTTTCTACAGAGAAAGTTTGCCAACCCCTGCCCTAGCCAGGCAAAAATTCCCCGCTTCATGGACCTTACACTAGTGAAAATCTAAGTGCTGACTAATGGATGTGTTTTTTTTTTCCCCACCCAAATCATCTTTTACAGCTCCTTGAAAAGGATTTATGTAATAACAAAAACCTTATGAAACTCTTGGTGAAAACCCTATGTGAGCCCTCGAGCATAGGTTTCAATATTGGTGATGTCCTAGTTATGAATCATCTTCCTGATGTTTGTGTAAACCTGATGAAAGCACTAAAGAAGTCCCCATACAAAGACACCCTTGAGATGTACCTCAAGGAAAAAATAACAGCACAGAGGTGGGCATTCAGATTATGCTTGGGATCAGTGTTGTGTTGAAATTTAAGGTTGTATCATACTCTGGCAGCTGTGTGTGTTTCTGCTATAGCCCCATTTCCTAAAGTAAAGGATCTCATCAGTTGTTTGATTTAACACATGCTTTACCTGTACCTTATGGTAATCAAGCCTCTGATGTGGCTTAGCCCCATGTTGATTTCCACGGCTGGATTAGCTCATGGGCCCCGTGTTCATTGTTAACCCATGTTTGCTTTCCAGGGTCATATAATGAATTTGAGTGTCAAGTAATCAGTAAACACATTTATAACAGAACACATAGTTTTTCAGTGTATCCTGCTAGTTTAGTGAGATTAATACTCCTCTCATTTCTTTTTGTTTTTCTTACATGGCAGCATTGAGGAGCTCTGTGCTGTTGACCTGTATGGCCCTGATGCTTATGTGGATAGGGCCAAGCTGGCGTCTGTCGTGTCAGCTTGTAGACAACTTCACAGAGCTGGTTTTTTGCATGTTGTATTACCATCTCAGGTAACCACAGCCAATCTGTTTTTACATTTCTCTTAGCTTTATTAAGCTAATTAGTCCATTTATTTATATATATGTTTTAAACATCCTATATGTATGGAATGTGCTGAAATGGGTATTATAGAATTACTTGTGCCAGACATGTGTTAACTGAAAATATAAATATAAAAATTTATAAATATAAAATAAAATGAAGGACATTTATATTTCCAACAGCCTTTTGAAGAATTTTAGGGACGAATTGCTATCGTGCCTTTGTGGGTAGGCAATATAAATGAAAAAATATAGCATAGAAAGCAAAGTTGAGTGAAGATTTTCCTGACGATTAGAATGCAGTCAGTGTTAAAGAATACGGATTTTTTTTAATTCATGAAAGGTGTGAAATTGTGTCTCTATAAAATATATTATTGCTGGATGTTTCAGTGTTGACTTTATTTTAGTCTGCAGATCAGCATCATTCTGTTGGCACAAAACTTCTTTCCCTGGTTTATAAAAGCATTGCACCTGGAGATGAACGAGAGTATTTTCCTTCACTAGACCCCAGTTGTAAGCGATTAGCCAGTGGACTTCTGGAGTTGGCCTTTGCTTTTGGAGGACTGGTAGGAACAGCAGCTACATGCTATTCTATCCTAATGATGTCAATATATAGCTCACTTGCAGTGTGTTTCTAAAAACAAGAATTTAGCTTGAATTTAGTAAGTTCTTAGCTAAGCAAGTACTTTAATAGGTTTACGTGATCTGACTTCCTTTCTAAAAGGTTTTTTTTTAATAAAAGAAATAGGATAATATTCTTCTTAAATTGGGGTTTTGTCTATTGCACTTTGTTTCCAAAAGGACTTTATAAGGCAGAGAACATTTTGTGAATATAAACCTGAACTGTGTTGACACAGTGGCTTCCTCTTCCCCTGTCCTTTGTGACTTTCAGATGGTTGATTTGGGAGCACCCCTGGAGGATAATTCCAGAGGCACCACAGAAAGATATCTTCATGGATTTTCAAACCGTTCAGGGCTGGCCTCACACAGTCTCTGCTGTAGCTGAGATCTGCTAGCCAGTCCTTTGTGTTCATTCCTTCCACCTGTCTTCCCTTTCCTATGCAGAAAGCTCTTCTTTGCCCATTTGTTCACTTAATATAAACAAATCACGTGTTTAAATGGTCTAAAAATGCCCTTACTAGCCTCTCCCCTCAGAGCAACAAGATTTTCTGGAAATTTGGGAGAAACATGAGTCAGGGAAGATTTCTTTCCCACAATGAAACCTAGAAAATGCAAGCTTGTTGAAATGTATGCAATTCAAACTTGAACCCAGGCCTTCAAATACCAGGTTCTCTTTAGACCTTACTGTGTGATTTTCCACTTCCAACGGTAGCAGCTTCCCAGGAGTCTTTCTATAATGGGTAAAATACATACTCCTGTCATTGTACCTTTCCTTGCTTTTTCAGTGTGAGCACCTTCTGAATCTTCTCCTCGACACCACAGTGTTGTCTAAGTCAGCCCCAGGAGTGTCCCAGAGAAACATGGTCAGCTTCTCTCACGGAGAGTATTTTTATAGCTTGTTCGCAGAGACAGTCAACACCGAATTATTGAAAAATCTAGATCTTGCTGTATTGGAGCTCATGAAATCATCTGTGGATAATCCGAAAATGGTAATGAAATTTTTATTTTTACTTTTTTTACTTATGTAGCTAGAATTACCATCAGATTCCACTTATTGGGCCAGAGACCCTTGTGGTGTTAGCCAAAGATTTGCCCCCCATGTCGTACACTACCTACACTTGTGAGTTCATTGTGAAATTTTTACTTAAGTATATTTTCTTACATAATGCCTATAAAAAGATTGCCATATTCTTGAAAACAAAACAAAACAGTTTCTCTTTCCAGAAGGTTTAAAGCTCTTGCCAATGTTTGAAAATAAAATCAAAGGAAAGAAAACCCAGCTTTAATGAACATTTAATAATGTTAAATGGACATTGAAACAGTGATTATTTTTTTTAATCTCTCACTCCCCCAGAATCTCTAGGCCGAATATTACAAGGCACAGCTATGTAGTATAAACTTTTGTGAAGAAGTGGTGTTGGAGCTCATAAGCCTGGAGCCTGCCTTTGTTTTTGCACCAGCTGCCAGCTGGTTTTGTGCACTCTGGGTGCTTTCTGTAGTCATGGTCATTTCACAGGTTGGTACAGAGAGTCATTATTTCCTGTGTGCTCCTGCTGTAGCCCACTTTGCCCCCTCACATTGAACCTTGGATCTCAGTATTTAATATATAGTTGACTTTGGTTTGCTAAACTTGTAAAATTTTGAAATTTAACCCAGTCTGTAGATGGTCAGGAGCCAGGAACTATTGGGAATGACCATTTTAAGGGAGAATGCATAATTTCGTACTGAGTTAAGCTTTTATTCCAAACAGTGCTTGTTGTCTGTCGTAGGAGTATTTTGTGGCAGGTTGTACTAGGTATTTGTATTTAAAGTTAGAAATGAACTTTTAGTAGACCCGTGACACACAGGAAATAGAACATTATGATCTCTGAAGCTGTTCAGACTTCTGGTGAAGGTAATGGATAAACACCATACATATTTACCTCTTCTTCCTCTTCGGTTCCCTCTAAAGTGACAGAAATGGGTCTTTTTTGTTTTGTTTTTGTTTTTAAAGCACAATGTTAAAAGACGCATTAAAGGAGGAAAGACAAGAGTGACAGCATTTTGGAAGCTAGAAAGCAAAAAGATAAGTTATAACAGACTTTAGCGCCCAAGAAAACTGCAGTGTAACATAGTGGTGGGGGATGGGCAGCTGATTTGTGCTGCAGAACCCAGACTTTCTGGGGTCTGGTGATGGAGTCCCAGGCCTCCAGAGTACCAGAAGCAGGATGTGAAGGAGAGGCTGAAAACAGGAGGACTGTGTGAATGTTAGCTGTCCCTTGCCAGGTCTCCTGGCCTTGCCATGTCCTCAAGGAACTGATCCTTCTGCACTTGAAGACACTGGGGGCAGCCAGATCTCTGGAAGGGATAAGTATCTGCACTGCGGCACTCTAGGCAGAGTTGACTGTAGGATACCTTTTTTTAAAATTTTTTTGTTTTTAATTGAAAGACCTATAGTCAAGATTAGCGTCATGTTCTGTATATAAACACCAGTATTTCTTTGAGCAAAGATGTAAAGTTTGAAATATGTCACACTGTATAAAAACATTTTATTATTCCATAAGTGAGAACTCTTGTTTTCTACTTTGATCTCTCAAGTTTAATGTCACTTCTCCCACTCTTCTGACCTTAGTCTCCCACTAGTATTTTTGAACAACCAAAATGTTTCTGGTGTGTGCTGTATTTTTGTATTTTGCCCATTTTTCTATTGGGGTGAAACTTCTTATTAATTTTTAAGAGATTTTTGTATATTAAGGATAATAGACCTCTGTCATGTGTGCAGAAAGTACTTTTTCCTATTGGTCATTTGTCTTTCAATCTCACTTGGAGTGTTTATACAGAAGTATTTATTATAGTTAAATTTATTAATCTTCTTTTCTATCATTCCTGTCTCCCGTGTCATACTTAGAAAGGCCTTCTCCACCCCAGTATTATCTATCTAAAATCAGCCCATCTTTTCTTGTTATTTTCATAGGTTCTTTTTTTAACAAATATAAATAATGCAAAGAGCACACCTGAATATTCTTGAAAGTGAAATTTAGAATCATTTTTTGGGTTACCACCCTTTCCACAACATGCTAGGGATTTTAAGTGATAATACGCTGAATATTGAGTAAATTTAAACCAAACTAACCTTTTTAAAACATAAGCCTACTTTTTCTAAGGTACATCTTTCCATTTATTCAAACCTTTACTCATATTCTCAAATTTTTTTGTCCTACTATTATGTAGAAAGCTATCATTTTATTCATCTAGTTACTGCACATTTTTTTCTTTAAATTTTTTATTGTTTATTATGGTGTGTGTATATATATATATGGTATAAAATACCATATTATTAATATGGTATTAATGTAATACCATATATTACATCATTAGTTTTTGATGCAGTGTTCCATGAGTCATTGTTGGGACATAACACCCAGTGCTCCACGCAGAATGTGCCCTCTTTAATACCCATCACCAGGCTAACCCATCCCCCCGGCCGCCTACCTTCTAGAACCCTCAGTTGTTTTTCAGAGTCCATCGTCTCTCATGGTTCGTCTCTCCCTCCGATTTACTCCCCTTCATTCTTCCGGCTCCTGCTATTTTCTTTTTTTTTTTTCTTTACATATATTTCATTATTTGTTTCAGAGATACAGATCTGTGATTCAACAGTCTTGTACAATTCATAGCGCTCACCATAGCACATATGCTCCCCAAGGTCTATCACCCAGCCATCCCATCACTCCCACCCCCCCACCACTCTA